ATGACCATGTGCTTTGCTATTTATAACGCAATCGTACATAAGCTTCGCCCACCGTGATTGATGCAGATGCCGAACATGATCGATTTGATTTTCTATGATAAAACTACACAAAATTTATTGACTTTTATTATATACTTCAGCGTGAAAGACTGAGTTTTCTGAAGTTGAGAATAGTTATATTTTCATTGCAGTGAACATAACGCTTGATATTTCAACATATTATACTTGATATTTCACTGCGGTGAACATAACACTTTGACGGAACTATTGTCATACAAGAGTTACTTCCCCTTTAATTGTCTCCTTTTGTTGTAAGTGACAAGCACGTACACAATTGTTGACGTTCTTTTTACGTTAGTTCCACATTGACAAGGCAAAATAATGATGGATGGTCATTTACGGAGTTAGTATCACTTCTAGCCGTTTATTCTTCTCTCAAAAATGTTTCGTTATAAACTGTAAATCTCTCAATCAACTCATCAATCGAGACTGTTCGTGCAAAGCGCCATTTTTGTTACTTAACCAGAGTGTATTCTTTCGCTTCCAACAGCAGTCTCCTAGTATTCAAGAATATTTATTGTTATAGTTGATTTTGTATGTAATCATATCGAAATAAGAATTATTGTGACCCTAAAGAATTATAGTGACCCTAAATATTTTTTGATACCTTTGTTTATATCTTTAAAGATTCTGCAAACACGAAACTACTTTTTAAGTCGTAAATACAAGGGGTGGTGAACTGTCCCTATGTGTCAGGCAGGGAGAATTTACATTTCAAGGTTTTACATTTGTAATGAACTAGTTTAATTTTCCGGTAGAAACTGCACAAAAAGTATATAATAAATAAGATATTCCATGTGTCTCATGAAATATCATGTTTTCTCATCTTGTGACGGGGAAAACACGATATTTTCACTCGTGGCTATGCCACTTGTAAAAATATCTCCTTTCCCCCCAGTCACTTGATGAGAGTGATACAAAGTTTGACAGTAAATGGTGATCATGTTTGCGAAACGGTTTTCAAAAAGCTTCTCCGGACACTCAGTTGTGTTTCCATTGTCATTCACTGTTCATAACTGAAACACCGCCACTTTGCGGGCTATTTAAAGTCAGGGTGGGGCTTTAAACACTTAAAGCAACGGGGGCACGGGTGGCCCAGTCGTCTAAGGCGCCGCGATTCGCTGTGCAGAGTTGGGTCCCCTGGACACGCCAGAAACCTATGATTGTGAGTTCGAATCCCAGTTCGCCCCGATGATGTTTCTGGGTTTGTCAGCACCATACCCGTGCTCGTGGGTTTCACCGAATTGGTAAACGTCTAATACCTGCATCACTTCCGGCTTTCCTCCCACATTAAGCTGACACGCCATGATATAACTGGAATAATGTTAAAAGCGCCGTTACACCCAACTCACTCACTCACTTAAAGCAACAACAATAAATTCAGTATTGATAAACTTAGGATGGCAGTGAGTGAGTGAGTGAATATTGCTTAACGCCGCATCAGCAATTTTGCAGCTATTCGCGGCGAGAAATGTCTTTTGTGTAATCATATGTCAACCAATATAATAAAAGTGATGTTGATAATCACTAAAATCTCAGTCATGTATCACATTTATAGGTAAAAGACTGACTGTTCAGGTAAAAATCTATATTTTATCATAGAGTTTGATTTCCTTTAAATACGCTAAAATCAAGTGATTAGAAACTGTGGTAAAAAGTTCGGATAAGGTATGAACATTATCATAAAAACGTTTTCTGACAAGTGCAAAATCAACACATTCCAGCAGAATGTGCTTCATAGTAAGAGGGCTATGGCAAGGTATACAAAAAGGTGGATCTTCACCCTTCAATAAAAATGAATGTGTATAATAACTCTGGCCAATGCGGCACCACTGTAAAACAACTTCATCATGACGATATAAACCGGAATGTGCGTGACCTCCAATCAGTGGTTTGATAGCATGAAGTTTTTGTTCATAGTCTTGGTATTCCAACTTTTTTGCCAATGATCATTCACATATTGTCTGATGCAAGGTTTTAGATCAGAATAGGGGAAGTTTGAGTTTGAAGTTTGTTTATTAAGAGCGGCTTTTGCCGAAGAATATGCTTTACAGTTGCCGCTGATGCCAACATGACTGGGCAGCCAACAAAAAATTATAACTTTTCCAGCTACGGATAAATTGAGATGACACCTTAAAATTTCAGCTAAAAATCGATGATCCACTTTTCGATTTTTGATTGCCTGTAAACAGGACAAACTATCAGATAATGTAAGAAAACTGCTTTTAGAAGACTGATCAATATATTGCAAAGCTAATAATATAGCCTGAGCTTCTGCCGTAAATATCGAACTACCGTCAGTTATACGTATAGACACTCTATAAATGTTAGCAACAGCTGCAGCAGACACCTTTTCATCATCTTTTGAACCATCAGTGTAAATATTGGTATAAGAGGAATACCGGTTCTTCAGTTCATGAAATTCTTGTTGATAAAATAATTGATTAGTGTCAGACTTCTTGAGGTTCGCTAATTCTAAATTAACATCAGGTTGTATCGATTGCCAAGGAGGCATTTCTGAGATTTTGTATTCGGCAATGGCAGAGAGATTTAAATGGGCATCCATGATATGGGATTGCATGCGAATGCCAAGTGGTGGGATTGTGTTTGCATTTCTGATATATAAATGCTGATATGGAGCATTGAAGATATTGTTAAATGCTGGATTAGAAGGATTGGAGCGGAGTTTAGTGATATATTGTAATGCCAGTTTTATTCGTCTTAAGCTAAGACTGGGTTCATTGGCTTCCACATATAGACTGTCAATTGGCGATGTCCTAAATGCTCCAAGACACAACCGAAGTCCCTGATGGTGAATAGTGTCAAGTACTTGAATGTATGATTTACGAGCTGAACCATAAATGAAGATGGCGTAATCAAGTTTAGACCTTATCAAAGTTCTATAGAGATGTAATAGTGTTTCTCTATCACCACCCCACCTAGTATTTGACACTACCTTTAAAATGTCAAGTGCTTTCAAACATCTAGCTTTAAGATTTGTAATGTGAGGTATAAATGATAACTTTTGACCAAAGGTAATACCCAAAAACTTGGTTTCTTTGACCACTTTTATTGGAATATTATTTAAAGTCAATTCTGGATCTTTATGCAATTTCCGTTTATTGCAAATATGAACACAGCAGTTATAAGTTTTGGAAAATTTAAAACCATTTTCTAAGGCCCATTTTTGTATTTTATTGAGACAAAGCTGTAACTGTCTCTCAATGGTATTCATATTTGCACCATGGCATGAAACATTAAAATCGTCAACAAACAAGGAACCATCAATATTTTCATTTAAAACTTTAGCAAGACTGTTGATTTTTATGCTAAAAAGTGTTACTGATAAAATACTGCCCTGAGGGACCCCTATTTCCTGATCATATATCTCGGACAATGTGGAGCCTACTCAAACTTTAAATTTTCTATCTTCTAAAAAAGGCGAGTGATGAAATCAGGCATACGGCCACGTATACCCATGTCGTGGAGATCTTTTAATATACCATACTTCCACGTGGTATCGTAAGCCTTCTCAAGATCAAAAAAGATCGACACAACATGTTGCTTGTTTACAAAGCCATTCCGTACAAATGATTCCTTTCGGACAAGATGATCGATGGTGCTCCTCTGGTGTCTAAAACCACACTGAATGTCTGTGATCAGATTATTTGATTCAAGAAACCAAACGAGACGCCGGTTGATCATCCGTTCCATGGTTGTACAGAGACAACTTGTCAGAGCAATAGGTCTGTAATTAGAAGAATCTGTGTGATCCTTACCTGGTTTAGGCACAGGTATTACAGTAGCCTCATGCCAGGAAGGAGGGAAGTTACCATTTTCCCATATACTATTAAATATGAATAAAAGGGTTAAAAGAGAAGGCTCAGGAAGACGTTTCAAAAATTGAGAATGTACGTCATCTGGTCCAGAAGCTGTATCATGAGCCTTGTTCAAAGCCTCTTGTAACTCAGTCAATGAAAAGGATTCATTGTAATCCTCTGCATTATCAGACCGAAAATTCAGAGTTTTCCTTTCCTGCTGATTTTTAAATTTTTTAAATTTTGGGTCATAGTTGGCAGATGAGGAATTTTGGCTGAACGTTTCAGCCAACTTATTTGCAATATCCTGTTTTGATGTCAATACATCATGATTAGATTGTAGATGCTGAATATTGTTCTGAGACCCCTTTCCTTTTATCTTTCTTATCATATTCCATACTTTATTAAGGGGGGTAAGAGAATTTATTTTCGAAACAAACTTTTTCCAGCTTGTACGTTTATTTTGTTTAATTGTTCTACGAGCCTTTGCTCTTGACATTCGTAAGCAGTTTAAATTATTCGCTGTGGGGTGTTTATTAAACACTCTTTCAGACTTTTTCCTATTTTTCCTAGCTTTTCTACAATCATCATTATACCATGGTGTTTTTACATGTGGATTTATCGAGGTCTTGGGGATGGTTTCTGTGGCAATGTTAATTAATTTATCCGAAAATGATCTGATCTGGTCAGGATCATCAATAAAATTTTCAAAGGTCAATGCATCACTGCACATGGTACTAAAGGTTTGCTAATCTGCCTTGTTAAGTTTCCATTTAGTAATGGGTGGGTCTTTACAAGGAACGATAGTTTTGAGTATGGTTGGGAAATGATCGCTCCCACACAGGTCATCATGTACTGACCATGAGAACTCATCCAAAAGAGACGGATCAGCAAAGGCTAAATCAAGTGCTGAGTAAGTACCAGTCGCTGGATGTAAATACGTGTTGCTACCATCATTAAATAGACAGAGATCATGCTTCTGGAGCAACTCTTCAAGTATTTTCCCTTTATGATTTTGATCCCCCGAACCCCATAATGGGTTGCAACCATTAAGATCGCCCATAAGCAAGAACGGCTTAGGAAGTTGGGTGATGAGATTATCTAAATCTTTAATCTGAAGTGCAGTTGATGGTGGTAATTAAAGCGAACATAAAGTTATTGCAATATGCAAAGTTAAGCGTACTGCAACCGTCTGTAGGTTGGTATTTAGTGGGACAGCACTGTGGATTGTCCCTTGTTGAACGAGTATGCTCGCACCACCTGTCCTTTTACCATTAGTAACCTTCGCATATGAATGAAACCTATTATATTGACGGAAGTTAAGATTATCGCATTCTCTTACATACGTTTCTTGAAGACTAAAAGCCACTGGATTAAATTCTTTTGATAAAAGTTTCACCTCATCAAAATTCGCCCTAAGCCCTCGACAGTTCCACTGTAGGATTGTATTAGGATACATTTAAGGAGCAATTACAGGAGGCTCCTGGATACGATGGCAGACATTCCTCACAAGCATAAAGCTTTAAACAGAGATGTTAAGTTTCAAATCATCTCTGCTGTCAATGCTGGAAAGAAATCAAAGAAAGAAATTGCAGATGAATTTGGTGTCCCAAAATCCACTTTGGATACGATCATCAAGCAGAGACAGTCAATCATTTACAAATTCCAGTTATCCGAGTATGGGGCAGCTAGAAAACGATTCCAATCATCAGCTAACAAAGATGTAGATGCACTGTTTGAGTGGTTTAATGCTGTTCGAAGTAAAAACATTCCTTGGAGTGGTCATATCATAATTTCTATGGCAAAAGAATTTGCTGAGAAGCTAGGCCATTCTGACTTTAGTGCAAGTACCGGCTGGCTGGAGAGATTGAAGAAGAGGCATGGCACATGTTCTTCAACAACCCTTGGCGAGAGTGCATCAGTTGACCCCAAGCTTGTCGATGATTGGTTGACCTCTCAACTTCCGACCTACCTGACCAAATTCAACACAGATGATATTTTTAATGATGGGCATGGTTTGTTTTATAGACTTGTACCCCAGAGAACTCTAAACTTGAAAGGTGAAAAATGTCACAGTGGCAAGAAGTCTAAAGAACGCATTACTCTTCTTGTGGCTTCAAATATGACAGGGACTGAGAGACTTAAGCTTTCAGTGAATGGAAAATCTGTGAAACCAAGTTGTTTTAAGAATGTTTGAAGTTTGCCGGTTGACTACAAAATCAACTCCAAAGCCAAGATGCAAAGTGAAATCTTCCATGAATATTTGTTCCAATAAGACAAGTCCATGAAGAGACATGATAGAAATGCTGCTACTTGTAGACAACTACTCCGCCAACCCACATGTTCCAAACTTGGCAAATGTCACGCTTGCCTTCCTGCCACCAAACACAACATCCAAGATCCAGCCTATGGACCAAGGTATCATAGCCAACCTGTGACCGCCCAGTGCATTGCAAACTGCCTCTGTGAAGGTGGCTTTTAGTCCCCAATCGACGAGGAATTATCTGATGGAAGACACTGTGCCCTTGTCGAGATTGCAAGTCCGAAGTGGAAACAGCGACTGATATCCTACACGATGTGACCCTGGAAGATTATTTGGCAGCCAATGACAACATCATCGCAGCCGAGCGACCCACAGAAGACGACATCATCCACAAAGTTAAACACACTGAAAACACTGGCCCTCCTGACTCCGATGGTGAACTTGAGACATAACCACCAAATACATGTGAACTTCTCTCACCATCAGAAATGACTACACATCTCGAAGTCATTCATCAGTTCTTTCAGAGTTGCCCTGGCTTATCACCAAAAGTGTTTGATAAGATTGACGACATTGAGATAATACTTGACCAAATCCGTCTTTCAACAAATGTTCAGAGCAAAATCACAGACTTCCTGAATGAAGGCAATTGACGCTTGTATCTGTATGTCATTGAAACATGTTTTTATTTATGTTATGAATAAACATAGTACATGTACAGAGAACACTTTTGTTTTTTATTGAGTGTGGTCACATGACTTGATCCAAGATGTCTGATTGTCGATATGCGCAGTATAATAAACGACTGAAAAAACAAACTAAAATAAGTAGTCCCTTTGAGTTTGTTATAACTGTAGTTTACTGTACCTGGTAGATGTGGTCACATGGTAACTCTGCATGCAAAATCAAGCTTTGCAATATTGTAAATCACAGATCTCAACCATCATAGCCGATGTTCGCTATTAAGAACACATAAATAACATTACATGGTTACCAACAAGTTAGCCAGCTATGCATGCTTTAATAGCCTATGAATATACCTCATAAAAAAATTCTTGTCAAACAACTGTTCAACAATTTATGAAAGAAAAGCCTTGTTGTATAGTTTTTTAAAGTTGTTCGAAAATTGTTCATCAATTCTTTACCAGTTGTTTGACACATGGTTACTTTATTAGATCCTGCAATCAGAAAGATTACATCAGAAGGCTTTTCTTGAGCTGCTTGTAGCTCAGTTTCAGTCTAGATTACCATATTTTTAGTTTACAGAAAACACATTATCACGGCATTAGAACACTGAACAAGAAAGCCTTCAAGTTTTTTTAACTTTTGGATAATGTCACTTGCAGTTTGTGAAATCAGAACTTAATACAAGCAAGTTTGTTGGCTGTAGCACAGTTTGCAACGAAGCCATTATGACTACCAGTTATTCTTGTGAATACAAAACCTCTATTACATCACTGCCATAAATCTTTATATTTTCAACAGCAGTCCTCTTCATTATCAACTATCCATAACCAGTTGAGATAGTAGTAATAGTATCTCCCTTCTTCATCCTCTGCGCATCCACAGTCAAAAACTCTTCACTTCTTTCCTGCGTGTGCTAGTGTCAGCATCAGTATAATTTGTCATAGCTCATAATTTGGTAGCTTTCACTCGGTTACAAGTTTGGATCTTCAGTTTACCAGATGTGACAGTTGAAGAGGTTTAGTTTTCCTTTCAACTTAGTTGCTAGGGTGGTAAATGTTGTGGGAAACAAGAAGGCGTCACCTCCTCCAGCTTGTTGAAGATGTGGGAAACCCTGACATCTGCTGAAAGTGCTGCTCTACTAGATGTACAGACGAGTCAAGATGCACCCTGTGTTCAGGATTAATTTCTCAGAATTGCCAGGTCAAGAAGGTGGGAAAGGGCCAGAAAGACAATGGTGGCTCTGACCAGGTTGCAGGAAAACTCCAGTGTCTGATGTTCCATCCAAGCCATTAGTTTTCTGTTGAAGGAATTTGTTGAAGTAATGATACCACTCAAAGTTTGCAAAGGATCAAGTTTTGATGGTATTCAAATATCATCCAGCCAAAAAAATTTGAAATATCCCAATATACAATGATCGGGTAGCTCCTGAATGACCTCAATTTGGTGATGAACGGACAGAGGCATGCAGTCATGGGCACGATGTGCACAAAGTGCTTGAAAACATGTGTTTGGATGTATTGTGACAGTTGCATATCAGTATCAGAGAGCACAACAACATTTGCTACGGAGGATTTCAACAACTGAATGCACTTCAGGGTCAAAGACATCATTTGACGCCTGAATAATTAGGCAGATGCATAGGCATGCTTGAAACTGGGTCAACACAATGTTACGTTAGTATCTTTGGTGCCTGCCAAAGTGTGACCAGCAGGGCATGGAATCGATACCAGACATTTGGATCAGCTTCCCAGCAACATGCAGGTGGTCGACAGTATAAACAAGATTTCGTTCCGTGTGTATGTTAGTTCCAGCGAAACTTTTACTACCAACATTTGTTTCTTTGAAGGTGCATATCACGTCAAGTTTTGGTTCCTATCACACTGAAATGTGTTCTGGTCATACAGGAACTTTCACACATGTATGTTCTACCCTGTGAAACTGTCAAGTGTACAAAGGACAAATTCTCTATGTATGAGAATTCCTATTTGACATTTACATTTTGTTAACAACAACAAATTCTGTAAACAAATGGGTTATTTTATTATATCTCTGTTACCATGGTTGAACAATTCTCATTTTATGTTAAGACTTCAAGATACTTCATCCCAACAGCCCTTGTGTTCACGGACAACTGCTTTTTTTGTTTAATTTAATTTACATAATTTTAATAAATTTTCATGGAATTATTGTGCAGCAGTACTTCTGATTTCGGCTGCATGATTGATCTCTGCATTTCTAACTGTTTGTGTCATAGTTACAAGTGTTCACATTTGCCTTTATCATTTATTAACTACGATCCACATATCACGATTTGTTTCATGCTTTTCTTTTTTGTCATATTCGTATGCGGTTTGCCATGCCCCAATTACGCCATCCCACGTTCATCAGACTCCTCCGTGGCCAAGTTATATACAGAAGATTATTGATCAGACCACAGAACAGTTAAGTCAACTCTGGCATGAGTACAGGCTCCCTCTACCTAATATGAAGAGAAAGCTTTATCTGACACAGGATTCACAGCAATCTCACAAAAATCAGATCTTAGATCTCACTGCCGCTAAACAAAGATCTGAGGACATCCCATTACGGGTCAAGTCAGAACGACCTTTCGCGAACCTGGATCTCCCTATGAAACGACCGACAAGAAGTCGGCTTCAGCCAATAAGAAAGCTGCGCTTTCTCGAGTTTTAAGGCACTCGTTTCAACCTGGCGACTTCCATTTCAGACTACGCTTAAAAAATATGTTGACACAGTTCTCGATTAAAATTTTGAAAACTGAACGGATATATCGTTGTGATTGTATGGCAATGCTTCCCACATACTGTGCAAATGCCTCCTCCGTTCAAATGTTTATCCCACACAAACAAGAGATAGAAATTTTGACGGAATCGGTCGTACGGGCTGTAACTGTCTTTCGGAATACCCCGTGTTAACATTTTCGAGGTTGCATGATTAGAAAACACATTCCGACTGTCACTTGCATGATCATGTAAGCGACGCTTTGATTGGTCGGATGAAAGGTCGTTCTGACGTGACCTGCAATGGGATGTCCTCAGATCTTTGTTTAGTGATAGCAAGAACTAAGATCTGATTTTAATGAGATTGTATTCACAGTTTACGAATTCCACCATTGTAGATGAAGAATTTCTGAACCTTTTTAAGAATCCCAACATTAATCTTCCAGCCAGCCAAGTATAGGATTTATCCACAGTTAACAAATACTCAATGGATATCAGCGCGTACACCAATTGGTTTGTGGCAGGCATTCGTCACCCTATCCCGCCATTGCAAGCTTCATATGACAATACATCCTCTGACACGCCCTTGGATAAGCATCTTGATCAAGTTGGCCTCACCCACAGCTTGCTAAATGCTATTGTACGCATGCAAGAAAAACTCCTTTCTATGTAAGTTTGGACTCTATCCAAAATTCTGTGGAGGCAACAGCAACTACTTCTATCCCAAATCTGTTTTAAGCCATCTTGTCTCAGGCCATAGCAATGTTGATGGCTGCCAAACTCGCCATCAAAACCCTTATAAAGCATCCGCAAGACCCACAAGAACTCTGATCCTAGACGCAAACCTGCCCCATTTCCCATCAGAGTCACCATACCCTTCCAAGACCCTGTCACTCATCAGATTTCCCGCTTCATCAAGAACAAAGCAAACATGGATGTCACTTTTTTAGCGGCAAGACCCATCTACAAGCCAATGGCAGAGGCAGAAGCACCGCAAATCCCAACCCTTGAGGATGTATATACCAGATCCCCTACAACTGTGGCCACCAATATATTGGAGAAACCATCTGACCCCTCAACACCAGACTCAAAGAACATCAGATCTCTGTCAACAAACTAGACCTGAAATCTGCTATTTCCAAACACATCCTCAAGAACCAAGGCCATAACATCATGTGGGAAGCCACCAATGTCCTGTCTACCAACAACAACAACTGGCAACAAAGAAAACTACAAGAAACCATTGACACCAGGAGACACCAGCCAGCCATCAACCGTGACCAGTGAATCTATCTGCCCAGTGCATGAGATTTATTGCTTTGATCTTTGTCGATGCTAAATATCTGCCTGGCTTCCATTTGTCCATTATCATTTCCATTCTATTACCTATCAGGGCTAATTACACCTGGCCTCTCGTTTGCCCATTGTCCATTGCTCATTACCAATCAGTGATAAGTTAAGTGTTGGCTTCCTTTTGTCCATTACTAATCACCTATCAGCAACAACTATCTGTTGGCTCCCCCTTGTTAAGTTTTCATCTTTGTTGTGGCAATGATGTAATAGAGGTAGTATTCTTAGAATCATTAACAATTATAACTATTGTTTTGATGCTCGTGGGTTCAACTCCTTGAACTATGTTTTTTGGTTTGTCAACACCATACCTATGCTCGTGGGTTTCACCAAAATCTGCATCACTTCAGGCTTTCCTCCAACATCAAACTGGCATGCCATGATACTAGAATACTGTTCAAAGTAACATTAAACCTCGCTCGCTCGCTCACCCACTCACTCACTCACTCACTCACCCACTCACCCACTCACCCACGCACCAACTCACCCACCCACTCACCCCATAGCTGAATACCATTGGATCCAGATCATCATGTATCACCAGGAACCCAGCTGGTGAGCGGCTCAGGGATCGGACCATCTCCACTGGACTTATACCAGGTCTCAAACTGAAGGTGGAGAATGAAGTTATTCCGTAGATGCTGGAGTACACGGGATGCCATGAACCTTCCATCTCATCTCAGAAGCACAACATTCTACCTTGGCCAAGTGATACTTTACAGGTGATAAACCAGAACAATGAGTACATCAGGAAACTGAGAAGTGATGAGAGACGAGAGACTACCACTTTCCCAATTAAAATGCTGAACCTATCGCACACGTAAATCCCCTCTCCCACATCTTCCTAATGTAAATGAGAACTTCTGCAAACTAGTCTCAAGTAACTTAATATCAGATTGTCTGTGTCCTTATCTAAAGACAAAGATATGGATCTGATCAACTGTCATGTGATGGCTATTAGGGCATACATTAACTGGTTTGGGGTATGTCGCGCCACGGTAGTTTGTCAAAGCACCTCCACCAAATCTGGTGGGCAGCAGTTGGAATTTGGTTCTCAAGACTAGAGAGACCTTTTTTCATGTCTCATCCAAAAGGAAGTACTTTAGAAAAGAGGCGTATCACAGCCCCACACAGAACATTGGGATAGTACCGTAACTGTCAGTATGACCACAAGTGATCAGGAGGGGTACAAGAGGGGACAAACCAGGCAGAAGAGGGCATCACTGCAACTGACAGCCCATCAAAGTAATCTTTTGGAATAGACCCTATCATCCGGGTTATGTTTATAAAGTACAGAATTCAACTAACAGTAACACCAGGTCCAGTTGGAGGCGATTGGTGATATTTCCTGAAAATTGGAAGCATATGACTTGATTCTAAAAGGCCTATTCAGATGTTATTGGAAAAGTGCAAAATATGGGAAGTAGAGGATACAGATCAAGGCCAAGGCTTCTATTCTCCAGTTTACCTGGTACCCAAGCTGAACACAACAGATATACACAAAAAGCTATCAACAAGGAATATCTCACCATGCTCAGGAGGGGGGATTGGAAGAGCAGCCTCCACCTCCAGGATGCATACCTACATGTACCAATTCACCCTAGATCCTGGAAATATTTCTGATTCGCTGCTACAAGTTTTTTGTACTTCTGTTAAGGATCAGAGTTTAACCCAGTACAGGACATTAATAACATTGGTGCCAGATTCAAACTTCAAAAGGGAATCCTTTGCCTACTGGTAGATTGTTACCTCAAGAAGCTGCAGATGGTCACCTCGAGCTCCAGCATCAGCAACATATGATTTATAAACATCCTTTTAATATGCATATTATGTTGATTTCTGATTGGTTAAAAGTCATGATTTTTTAGACATTCCGATTCCATGACATGAATCAACCTGCAACCTCACATATCAGGTTTAGTACTGTAACCCACTTTTTCCCAGTGATCCATTAGGGCAAGTGATAAAAGGGTGTACAATCTGACTGTTTGTCTGCATGCTGCAAATGAGTGGTTTTGGTTGAACATGTAAAATCACAATTTCGTGAAAGCTTGTTCGAGGTGTCATGTTTTAACCTACAAATTGACATCATTGTTAATAATTCAAAAAGTGCTACCTCTATTGCAGCAGGAGTAATCCAACCCACTTCCCAAATGATCTGCATCTAATTGCTTGGCACAAGCGAAAGATGCTTGAGGAAGGAGATAATATTTGTGACACAACTAAATATGGTTAATTGACAGTGAAGAGGACCTCTGTTGAAAATGTTTTTAATGCACAATTTACAGCAATGATGTAATGGTCATAGTATTTTTTTAATTAGTAACAATGATGGCTATTGTTGGGTGTCTGGGTTTACACTGCGCATGGTGGGATATGTTCTTTTAATATTAAACTTTCCATCATTAATCTGAACTTTCATGGCAATAACTTTTAAAGTTCATAGTTTTCCCCTTTTTGCCGATGCTTCTGGACCAAAATGGACCCTTAAATGTAATAGCCTGTTCTTTGTTGCTGTGATTGTTATGGTGTAGCTTTATGTTTTCTTTTATCCTGGTAGACCTTAATTGATTTTGTAACTGTCCTTAGGAGGAGATTGCAAACCGCACAATTCTACAGCAGGAAGTGCAAGATTCTAAAGGATTGTGGGAACAGGAAGTAGTATCTAGGTCAAAGTTGGGTTTACGGGTGAGTTATTGAAAGTTGCATGTGAGAGATGTATATAAATAGAAGCTGGAGGCAATCTCAATATGCCTGGTCCTTTATGGTCCATGATGAATTATGACATGTGGTTATTTGAATAATACCTAAACCTGGAAAAATGCCTGTATCCTTCATTAATACAAACTCTTATGTAATACCTTTTTACTTTTTTTTGCCACTTGCCCTGTTGAAATTTTCAGTTACTCCTTGTCATATTTACGTGCAGAGTACTACACAGTTCTCACTCTGTCAGCTATCCATAATCAGATGATTGGAAAATAGTCGTCTTCATCTGGGGCCTTAGGTGGCCCATTCATCACAATTCACTGTGCAAAGTTGCGTACCTTGGGCCTAGAAACTAGAAATTCCTGTATTTTGGTTGCAGTCACATCAAAACTAATCTTTAGACAGAAGTCTTCTTCACTGTCAACTACACACAACTGGTTGTCACAACAATAGTACCACCACTCGGCACTAAGCTCTTCAGCTTGCAAAGGTCGGAAAATCCTCTCTTCTTTCCCGAACGTCTATTGACAAGAAATAGATGAAGGGGGAGGAGTGTGGGTTGGTTTGTTGTTTAACGCCGCGCTCAGCAATATTCCAGCTATATGACGGTGATGGGGAGGGTGGAAGTACTTAGATTTATTAACAATGATGTCTATTGTTCCTATGATTCTTGTGAATACTCTACCTCTATTACATCATTGCCAGAATATATCTGAGGACTAGGCAGGCTGTGCCTGTAGTGTACTCCAAGTGTAAGTTGACAGTAGAATTTGTTTTTTTATCTTCTGTTCATTCGCATATAGTGACATTATGTAGCTTTTTATACCATATGACATTTTATTTTGATATTGTGTCAGTGTGAAGTCTGATTCTTAATCACTGTTAATCATTATATAAGTAGGGCAAATGTGAAAAAAACATTCTGTCAACAATGACTGCAGGGAGAGACTTAAAATATTAATATGTTAATTTCATCATTCAATTAGGTTTTCAACAGAACTCCACTGTCAACTGTCCATAATCAGTTGAGCTACTTATAGTATCTCCCTTCCTAAGCCTCTGCACATGCGTAGAGAAAAAGTCTTTACTTCTTTCCCGCATGTGCTTCTGTTAGCATCAAAACATTTTTTTTATCTCTGAATTGCCTAAACTCAAAGGTTGATCATTTTCACACTGTTATGAACAGTGAACTTCAGTTTACAAGAAGACTAGATCGTGCTTCCCACCTGTGTGGAGGTTGAAGAACATTACTATACCTCAGGGATTTAGTTTCTTAGTTGGTAAACATGTTGTGTGGCACAAGATTGCATCTCTTCCACCAACTTCTACGGCACCTGCTGGAAATGCTGATATGTTCAATGTACAGATGCCATCTCACACTTCTCTCCCATGGCATGTTTTCTCAAGGTAGCTTATATGATAGACAGTGTCAAAGAGAAAGGAAACGGTAAAGAAGAAGGTGGCGATTCTGACTATGCACAGTCCAGTCATTGGTAACCTTCCTAGGACCCAGGAGCACAACCCCAGGCCTACCCCAGTGTCTGTAGATAGATGCCAGGCTTCAACTTTTGAAGCATGACCACATCTGGGGGAGTAAATGTGCTGGATGATTCAGATCATGTGTGCTGGATAGATCTGATGCAGGGAACTCAGATCCTCCTCATTCAGGATATGACATACTACCAACACAGTCTCATGGGAGGTTACTGGATTAGGTCAAGGATGGACAATGGCCTTTGGATCCACAGATCACTGGGATAGCACATGGAGCATTTCCCATAGCTGTATGGACCAATCATGGAAGACGCATGGAGCAGTGTCTTACAAGTTCCACAGGACCTGTGATGTTGATAAACAGGTGCACTGAGTACCAGGAGGCAAGTCGTTAGTGCCATGGTCACCAGTGCAAATATAATGGTTAATATGAATCCTAACTCTCTGTCCCTTTACCAATTGACCTGGTCGGGTAGAGGCCATGCTGCAATGTACACCAGGCTGCATGTGCAATGTATGCCAACCATCAACAAATTCTAGGATCGTGACACAGGGCTGGAAGCCTACCGGATTGGATAGACAATGTCACATGTGTCACCTGTGGCACAGTTCTGGGCATGGTGCCTCTAACCAGATCAAGAGCAAAGGAATGCCTGTAAATCCGGCGTTTGGCTAGATGTGCACTTAACTGATTGGCAACACTCATTCTCAGTATTAATTAAGGGACTTTATCATCTAATGCTGGGCATGAAGCCACCTGTGGAGGAGGTGGTTGTACCGAAGGTGGTAGAATATGCATGGGCCCAACACCTCTGTATGAAAGCTCTCCTCTCTACGGCCAAGTTTCTGGTTACTGGTTGTCAAAAACCAGGCTAATGATTGGAGATGCAGGAAGAGCTACTCACCATCCAAATGTGGACGTCGTTGGTTGGTTGGTTTGTTGTTTAACGTCGCACTTAGCAGTATTCCAGCTATATGACGGTGGTCTGTAAATAATTGAATCTGGACCAGACAATCTAGTGATTAATATCATAAGCATCGATCCATGCAATTGGGATCAATGACATGCATCAACCAAGTCAGCAAGTCTGACCACCCGATCATGTGAGTCGCCTTTTAAGACAAGCATTGTCGCTTTTTACAGGAAGCATGGGTTGCTGAAGACCTATTCTAGCCCTGATCTTCACGGGTCAAATGTGGATGTCCACCAAGTTATGTTCAATGCAGAGGCACCAACTTCTCTCCCAAGTTCAAACAAAGGCGGTCACAGAACAGATTTGGAAGATTTTTTGTGAACCAACCCATCATAGTTCCTGACTTATAAAATAACACTCTCAACAAGGTTTTGGAGGAGGTGTGTCGAGACACCACTGACAGTTTTCGGCCCACTACCATTATCTTGACAGCCAGTTCCTTGAGTTCCCTGAGCCTCCTAAGCCAAGAAGTCTCATCTGGAATTGTCGAAAACTTCTTTTCATGGCTCCCCCCAAAAAAACATCCTGCAAGAAATCACACGAGGCCCATGGGGATGGATACTGGGAGGATAAGTTTCTGTGCTTACAAACGTACATGGATGGTTACTGAAAACCTGTTTACAATTGGTGGGGAGAAGGACACTACTGTGGTTGCATCCACAAGGATGGAAAACCTGTCAGACATTTTAGAGCCCAGACTCAGTTACTGATTGATCACCCAAAGCCACCTTCAGTCCATCTTTGACAGATTTGATTTCCCTCTCCCATACTCCTGAAGTGAGGAGCATTAGGGGATTAAACTTGAACTTCATGTTGCCTCCAGCTAGTTGGTTTGTTAAACTTGGTTCCACGGTCATCCAAGTTTCTCTCAGCTCTCTTTCTGCACCCTTGAAGTTGAGGGGAGTTCATGGGGCTTGCCACGATGAGAAACAAAGCGCCAGAATGTCATCAGGAAGGCCTCTGTACTCATACTGTTAAGTTAGTCAAGATGTACTCCACTTGTTCTCATTCACTTGAAGATATACTCCCCATCTCTTCTCTGTGCGCCGTCCTATCTTGATTGTCTATGGCCCAAAACAGTCCACTCCTGTGGAGTAAAAGGCAGGTTTGAACAGACGTTAATTATAACTTCAAGTGGGCAAGTCACTCATCTTGGGAAATTCAAGTTTAGCACGCCACTTGCATGTGAAATGTTTATGCTGATGTTTACGTATGGCTTCTCTTAGGTATGGCCATACTTAAAGGGGCACTGATCTAAAGCAATTCCCCGGGACTGGTTGTTGCCTTTGTTATTGTTTTTTCCCGTGAGTACCCGGATGATATAGTAGAAACCTAGACTAGTTCGCAACCTGTGCTGCGCAATTCGTAAGCGCATTTGTCACTTTTATTGATAAGGGCGTATGGTCACATTGATCAACAAAATGAAATACAGTTTTGGAATGATAAGGAAATGTAGGTATCTTTGTGGGTAGCCTCGGTAATGGTGACTAAGTTTTGATAAGTCACTTGCTTGGTAATTGTGTAATTTCGTTTACACTATTTTGACTTGCAACACAAAGTAAATATTTCTCCTGAGCATTGCTTATTTTGTCGTGTTTATATTTTTACAGTCAAAATGTGCAAAATTTTCACTTAGGAAATTTATTAAACGCCTGAATATTCAGTTATTTTACAAACTGACTGAAAAATATGTCCATCTGTATTATTATGACAAATTCCAAACATGTTTATGTTTAATGTCATCACCCAGAGACTGATCATGTTACAATGAAAAGTACATTTCTATATTGTTTGGCTTCTAATCCTACATAATAATCTATTGTGATGTTTTTAGGCCCTATTGATCGTCTTAATCAATTTTGGTCAATCTGTTAAAGAAATGGACAGATGTTGCAGTCAAAATGACTGAAACATTCACACATTTTATAAATTGCCTGAGAGAATCACATTTTACAAATTGACTGTAATATACAAAGGAAAGACTTGTGAAAACACGAATTTCCCAACCAAGAGGTAGAGGAACAAGAATGAATCTGTCCAATGCTACTGCAAATGAAGGAAAACAAAATGCGAATATCATAATTACAACCTACCAAATTTATGTGTATAATTTTAGGCAGCTTCCTTGTTAGAGGAATGTATCCGTGAATATCAACACAAAGGAACCATATCCCAAACATCTGCAGCTGTACAAAGAAACGTTTTCGATGTCACGTGTCTCTGTAACAATCAAATATTTTGAAATATATATATCGTTTCGGGATATTATAACCCGTGTTCGTTTCTCAACCGATCACTTAGATTGTTTCAGGTGTTTCACATAGGTGTAAAGTCTCAAAGGTCGGCTGAGAAAGTCCATGTGACAACAATGTTCATAACGTCCACGGTTCCTAAAAAAATCCATTGAGTTAGATAACAATGAGCAATTAATCAACGTATTATTGGTTAATCTTTTGAACAAAGTATGTTGTTTTTACATCGGCACTTCACGCAAGGATATGAGTGTATTCCCTAGACATGTAAACACTCACTTTTGAGATATCCACCCTGCAAGATAACAGTGATTAATCAATCAATGTATTTTCTGTTAATCCTTTGATGACTACAAACGATCCGCTGATTTACAAAAAAAGTAAATCAACTTATCATTCAACTTGCGCTGGGCTGCCACGTGCATATTACATACACACATTTCACCTCACTTCAAACCTGGACTTAGATTGAAAAAAACCCAGACACAATAAATGCCAAATGGGAACCTTCGACAGGTATTCGCAGTGGTGCTACCACTAATTATACCTGTAATATATTCATTAACTGAGCATCAAGTAAATGTCGACAAATACACAAGTGTAGCGTTATACCAGAAAACGTGGATGACAATAAGGGAGTAGTAATCGTATTATCGACGCAATCCGAGATCCGAAAATGCTTTCACTGCATGGATACTTTTTTTTAAAACGATAACAATCAGGGGTATTTCCAAATGATGTCTTTGTCTTGAACCGGAGTAGTCACGGACATGGAAGGATTGACAAGGAAGGAATGACAAGGAAGCCTAGGTAGGTCATCAGTTGGACCAAGAATATCATGTTCTGATGAAGTTGAGCTTTCTCTTGGTCTGCGGCTAGGAAATTGTCCAGGTAACCATGGATTTGAACTAGCTGGATGTGAGCAAACTTGATGACTGGCGCTGTAATCCTGGTGAATAGCCAAGGGGCTATTGCTATTCCGAATGGTCAGACTTGGAATTCGTAGGGTCAGCCATTGATTGCGAAGCGTAGATATTTCCGTGAGGATGGGTGTATTGAGACATGAAGATAAGCATCTTGTAAATCGATGCTGATAAACCAGTCTCCTGTCTTCAGTGTTGACCGTAACTTCCGGTGGTGGTCGATAATCATCCTCATTTCGGTTGTATTCTTCTTTGGAACAAGGAAGACTGGAAAAAACCTTCGTGTTGTTGGTCTCCGTTAGTCTCCAAATGGCTCACTTCTTTAGTAGCTTCGTGACAGCCAAATCTGCTGCCGCTAACTTGGATCCGACTAGATGAAATCTGCGTCCGACGGCGTGTGTCTTCAGGATAGGATGTTTCTTGAAATGTAGTTTGTACCCATGAGTCAGGACGTCTAGAATCCAGCCTAACTTGCTTCCAATTTTCGGCGTATGACAGAAGGCACCCTCCCACGGATCCCGGAGTCAGCATAATGTTGAAAGACGGTAGGCGTAAATCGTAATCCATAGACATAAGCAGGTCGATATGGTCTATAACACTGGAGGGGGTTGTGTGGGAGTCAGAACCTGCATTCGTCTCTGCCTCTAGATCTTCCATGGCTATTAAATCCTCCTTTCTTGTTGTCTGGCTGGCAAAAAGAATTCTTAGAAGATTGTCGCTTGTCGTATCCCTGACTCGGTTTGAATGAATCCTTCCCAGAGGGGACAAACTTCTTCTTAGGAGGCAGTTTGGCAGACGAAGATTTGTAGTCCCAAGGACACTTCTGGGGATGGGATGATCCGTGGGCTTTAGCAGCTGAGTTGATAGTTGAAATTTGGAATCGTTCTGCAATGTCTTGTCTCACCTCATCTATCACTTTGAATGTTGCGGTAGCTGATATAGGTTGTGATTTTATTAACTTCTTGGTCTGGTTAGAAACAGTCCTGGATCGGATCTTGGCTAAAAGTTGTTGACGCTGTAGCCATAGGAGTTGTGAAGACATCCAGACTTGGGAAGAGATTAAGTCTTCTTGCATCCTGACTATAGTATCTAGAAGGCTGTGGAAGAGTCTGACTTGATCAGTCCTAATAGTCATGGGCGTGTCTCAGGTTATTCCTTCATAGGGTGGCTGTAATGGTGGAATGATGTATCTGATTCCAGTGACAAACCAATTAATGTAAGCGCCAATATCCATAGTGCATTTGGAAACCAATGTCAGATCCTTTATCCTCGTAGCAGGTAACAAGATACTAGTATCGGGGTTACGTACCAACTTGTGGAAATCTTCGTCCACACTTGCGAATTCCAGAAGTGGAGTCTGTGTCCTGTATAACTTCCTCTTTAATGGAGGTAAAGGTAGTCGTTCATCATGCTTGAGGGGCGGTCGGGTATCCTAGTGGTTAAAACGTTTGCTCTTCACGCAGAAGACCTGGATTCGAGTCCCGACATGGGTACAATGTGTGAAGCCCATTTCTGGTGTCCCCCGCCGTGATGTTGCTCTAATATTGCTAAAAGCATACTCACTCACTCATCATGAGCTTGAGTAGACTCTCAGACATCTGGTCTACTACCGTGCCAGCGTAACTGGGCCAAGGTAATGTCTGAAGGATGTGTTGAGACAATGTAGGAACATGACATTCCCCATATTCCGGCATCTGGGGTGGCCCATTTTGTGTCACAGGAGGTTGGAGTACTCGAGAGTAGAGGGAGATGCTGGGGTGGAAGCCGATTTCTCAGCTGTGATGTTTTCTACCTTCTTCTTAGTGGCTTCACATCTCTTGGCCTTGGTCAGGGCCATGGCCAGCTTGGAGAAGATCTTATCTGATGTGTTGACGCACTTCTCACATCTTTTTTCCTTGTCACAAGTGCCTCTGCACTTCGTGCAGCTTTCATAAGGATTTCCCATGACCATGAAATGGCCACACTTCTTTCGACCGGGGGTAGAGGGAGACTGCATGCTGACCTCACAAAGAGCACCAAACACCAGCTATAATTACGTGTTTGCTCTTACTCCAGCAGCAAAATTAATGTATACTTATATGTCTGTTATTATAGAAAACTATTTGAATATTCTTAGATTAGTGACCAAGTGCTAGATCGTTACTATTATAATAGGTGTTGACTGTAGAACACACAGAAAAAAAGTGATGTTGCCGCCATTATGATGTCATGGCTTGGGTAATTACGAGACTACTTGTTGACAACTATTTTAGTTAGTGTGATTGAAGCCAAAATACAGGATTTATGGCAGAGATGTAGTAGAGGTAGAGATTTCGTTAGAATTATTTCCTTTTGTAATGGCTGTGGAAAGTCTTCCTGATCTTGGATCATCTTCAAGGCTCTTTCTTCCCCGTTTGAACTTCGCTGCCCATCTCGTAAAGGGATGCCTTGTCTGCATGGATGACTGTTGATATCAGTCCAAGATATTTTATAACAATGTGGTAGCCAATTTTTGTCCATTTTCATCAACAGAGAATACCTAGTCTGCAGAAATATGCTGCATGGTTGTGTATTTGGTTGAAATGCATGCCTGTATGCTAAGTGTAAAAGGTGTACTGTACATCTTTCTTAGTTAGTATTCAGAAGTTTTCTACAACCCCACACAAGAGCACAGCTTTATCTTTTGATGTTGGTGTCGTTTTCGATATACATGAATCAGCTATGTCTTAATGTTTCACTCACTTGTCCTGAGAATAGATATGTTTTAACACTGTTTGGCTGATTTAGATAAATCAGGCTGATAAATGTCACCTTTTCAGATTTCCTAAGAGCATCATGCAGAGAGATATTGTATTGGAGTAAAAGATCTGATTATTATGTGATTGCAAATAACTGATGTGTAAAGACTGTATGCTTTATGTCGTCAGATTGCCCAGCTTGACCGTCAGAAGCAAGATATTCAAGGATCTTTGGAAGTGGTGAGTCATACATCTTAATATTACATTATATTTGTAGGACTCCAATCTGTGATGTATTCTCAGATCTGTGGCAGATTCTCATTGTTATACGTCATTATGTTTGCAATGATTTCTTATCTGTGAATTGACAATCAGTTCAGATGTTATATGACGTCATGCTTGAGATTACGCCACAACTCCTTGCCTGCGATGACATAATGTAAGTTCAACATCTATTACTGATAGACACAGCAATCAGTCAAAAACGACACCATAGAAAATGAAGTTTTCTTATGGCGGATTCAAGTCGGCAGAGGAAGAAACCAGTATCAAAATCAGGATCCATGCCGAATTATTATAAATGATTTGTAAAAACTACAAGAAGGTCCTCGTGTCAAGGCTCTGAATCACGAAGTGAGGAAGCCTGAAAATATTCAGGAATTTATCTCGGGCAAATGAGAGGATGCTGCAGAAGGTCTTAGAAAATGATTTCTATGATGAAACTTTGGGGAACATTTTTAAGAAAGTATGGATATGCAATTCCTGCACCCACCATGCTTTTCCAAAGGGGAAATGATAAAAATAATTCAGAGGAATCATAACATTGATCATCAAAAGTCTGCTGCCATATATAAATCTATACAACATTTAATGCTATAGAAATTGCCAATTACTAATATTATATGATAATCTGCCATAGATCTGAGTATTCGCCAATATCTTCTCTATTTGTGGAAGCTGCCATAGGTATGAGAATCCACCATTGATCATGAGCTGCTTTCCATTTTGGGCGTATGACACGAGACATGGGCCCCCCGCTGGTCCCAGAATTAGCATTAGGTTGACCTGTGGTTAGAATCTAAGAATGTTAAAAAAGTATTGCAGAGCCGAAGAATACTTATTAACACTCTAAAAGTTTTGACACAGAAGTAGGTGAATTTGACCGAAGCACAAGTAACTTATCAATGAATTACAATCAGGAAAGTAGTCTGTCATAATCTGACCTTAGGTCATCAACATGGAGCAGACATCCACAAATCTGAAATTCGATCTTACACATGTTTGTTACCTTGTTACCTCAAATGGGTTTCTTGCCCACAGGTATGTAAGAAATGGGTTTTCCTGGCAGAGAGAGCGATCTATTCTTGTGCCTATCCTGCCTCCTCTATGGCATCATCCTCTATGTTTCTGCTGGAAAATGTTGAAAGCTGTCCCATGCTTCAGTCCTGAGTGGGATGTAGGTCTGTCTTTCCACCCCACCTATTCTTCCTGGAAGGATTCATTTCCAGATCCAGATAATGTTTCACATGGAAGATTCCCAAAATGACATGATCTCTGACCAATTCTCAAGGTCTGTTGGCCTAATATTCTGAACTGTAAGCTTTAACTACCAAGTTCGTAGGAGAATGCTGAACTTGGCATCTTGACAAACTCTGTACTCAAGGACCTTGTGTAGCTTCTCATTAAAGAAGTGTTGTACCATGATGATTTGTGACAGGACAAAATGGGGCTGGGATGGGTAACTCGGGGAATCGGGTGGGGTGGGGAGTGAGTAGGATCCAGGGTGCCGTTTCACAAAAGCCTCTTAGCGCTACGACACGGTTTACAACCCTCTTTAGGATCTCCTTACGACCGTTTCACGAAAGCATCTTAACAACGTCGTCAAGTCAATCTTACACTAGGATGTCGCAAGACTTTACGACATTGTATTTAACATAGCAATGGGACTCGGAAGTGAAAAGGACACCTGTCAATTTGATTGGCTGATGATCAATCGGCATCGTTTTCACATGGAGACAGTTCCAGATACAGAGATTGAAAAGGTAAGCATGTCCTGAAAGCATAATACTATTTAGATGTTTGTCGTAATCATATATTTCCGGAATAAAAGATCAATATTCGGGAGATTATTTGAAGACAATTCAAGTGTAATCTCTTTAACTCTTCTTCCTTGAAAATAAGAATGAAGCAAGATTAGAGTTACTCCCCCTTTCGGCAAAGCCGACATCAATCTTGTCCTGCAAGAAAATTTAGCATATTATGGACGCATCAACCAATAGCAAAAAGCGGAAAAGAAATTTTGGACCCGTCGAAATTGAAGTACTTTTAGCCGGCGTTGAAGCGAATATTGACACACTAAATTTGTCATTCACGAATTCTGTTACAAATGCCTGTAAGAAAAAAATATGGTCAGACATCACTCAAAAGTAAGTCCATGTTTCTCTTGAGACTTTGATAATTGAGTGTACATAAAGCGTCCCTAAAAATGTAAATATCAATGCCAATAATTGAAAAAGGTTTATGTAATAAAACGTTATTTCACAAATAATAAAATAGAAAAAGAATCCCACAAGATGCTTAGATTTCAAGTAATGCTATGATGAAGCATCAGACCAGGAAAGACATGTAAGAGAAAAAGACACAAATATGAAAATACTTATTCAGATTTGTTTGTCAAAAAAGGCACATTTAACTGTTTTAGAATCAATGCAAGTGGCACTACAGCAAGAAACGAGGAGGAGATACGAAAAAAGTGGACATATCTTAAGGCAGCAGTTAAAAAGGCAGAAAGTGGAAGGAGGGAAAACCAAAGAAAAACAGGTGGGGGCCACCCCCTGATGAACTCTCCTCAATGGAAAAGAGGGTAAATAAAATATTTCAGTGATACACTTTTCCAGTACATAATGATATGTAGTATCATGAAATCACACAAAAGACATAGTTTTCTTAGAAATAATTAATCATTTGCTTTTTATTCTAGATCCAACAGTTGATTCCTCGATGTGCAGTGGAGGGGATTCCTGGAGGCATTGAATCACCACGTAATATTGTATCCTGAACAACAAAATTTCCTGTGCAAAGTTATGTTTTTTTACCAAATCTGAAACAATTTCGGTTTGCAACAGATAAAAGACTCCTGTAAGTGTTCAAATAGTTTAATTTGCCATACTGACTTCAGAAAATGTGTGATTTCATAAAAAACATGAACATGCCAAAATGTCAATTTACAAATCAATAGCGCATGTGTCCACCTCTGGTTGCGATGCAAGCAACACATCTTCACCTCATGGAATGGACCAGGCATCGCACAAAGTCCTGTGGGATATCTGTCCATATCTGCTGGAGCATGTTTCGAAGTTCCTGGAGTGTCTGTTGAACACGTGGTTGACGTCGAAGGGGCCGATCCATCTCATCCCACATGTGCTCGATTGGTGAGAGATCAGGGGAGTGAGCCGGCCAGGGGATGACATTCACGTTGTTTTGTTGAAGAAAATACTGAACAAGTCGAGCAATATGAGGCCGGGCGTTGTCATGTTGAAAGGTAATGCCTGGGCCATGACGACGCAAAAAGGGTAGAACAACAGGGCCGATGATCTCGTCGCAGTAGTGCTGTCCATTGAGATTTCCCTCTACCACTATCAAACGGGTCCTCTGTCTTGCTGTAATCCCACCCCATACCATAACGTTGCCGCCAACGAACCGATCTTCTTCCATGACACAATGATTGGCGTAACGTTCACCTCGACGTCGGTACACTTGAATCCGTCCATCGCTGTGACTGAGGTGAAAACGAGACTCGTCAGTGAATAGAACTTGTCCCCACTGCATGGCCGTCCAGCTTAGATGCTGTCTGCACCACTGTAGACGTGCTTGACGGTGGTTTCCTGTCAAAATGGGATGTCTGGGGGGTTTTCTGGTGACAATCCCTGCACATCTGAGGCGACGACATACGGTTTGTGAAGATATTCGTCAAAGGCCAGGGATGCTTCCTGCAGTCACTGTTGCTGACTGGAATCGATTTCGTAGGTCTGTTGTTCGAATCCAGTTGTCTTGTCAATTATTGGTTACACATGGCCTGCCACTCCGAGGATGGTCTCTGACTGTATTCGTCTGTTGCCAACGTTGCCATAAACACCTCATGGTGTTTCTGTGGACGTTTAATTGTCTTGCAACATAAGGTTGACTAGATCCTGCTTCAAGGATACCAATGGCTCACAGACGCTCATTTTCGGAGAGGCGTGGCATTTCGTAATGTTGAATAATTGCGTAATTTTGTTGTTTTCCCGAGTAGTTGTTGTAACCACGATGCTAAACAATGCATATGGAATCCCGTTAACGCACATGTTTTTATACCCATTCTTGGGTAGTGAAATGCATGGGGCTTGCATAATCCAGAAATCCTCATTAATTTTTAATATGTACTGAATGTAAGCCCCTCCAATATCTCTTACAGAAGCACAGAGCTGTCTTCCAGAACCAGCTTGTAAGTACACTTAAGTTTCCATATTTCGGAAGAAACTTATAATCATATTTTTTACATTATGTTTGTTTATTGTAATACATCAATTGTTAAATGGCTCAGCGTTTACTGTTATCCCAACTATCAATCAGTTCAGAGACCATTTACCAGTCATGTTAATGTGAAAATATTCATTCACAGTAATCAGTAACAGGAAGTTGTGTTTTGTGAACACCACTCACCATTCCCTTTCAGTCATCCTTTCAATGTAAATACACATAATGTATAATTATGTTACAGCAGCATCAAACAATCAAGCCACCCCATCCCATAGAGCTACTGGTGGAAATATAAGGAAGAGATTATCACAATCAGTTCAAGGTAAATAATATTAACCTTCACTTAACAATTATAATTTTGAAGAATTCTTTAAATTTTGATATAAAATATCCTTCAGACATAGCTTTCTGGTGTCCAAGAGTGAATGACCCAATTAACAAAATTGTCACACTGAATGGAATAAATAATCTTTGTTTGTCAGATAAAGGGGATGACTACATGAAGACGCTGTCCGGGTATGAAGACAGGAAAGGGCAGCTCCTTGAGGGCATTCTGTGTGAGCTGAGATCCCTTAGAGAGATTCAGGAGGAGAGGCTCAACTTGGAAAGAGAAAAATTTCAGTTCATGCAAACCATGGACAGTAACACCTTGCTGTCTTCAATCATAAAGTTTTAAATACTTGGACCTTAATAAATATTGAAATAAAAGCAGCTTTAATCAT